GAGGGTTCTACAGTGGTGGTCTTTGTGTTCCAACGGAACCGGCCACCACTCCTTTACGGGACTCTGTGGGGGGGGCTATGTGAGTTTGTGGCGGGGGAGGGCAGTTACAGATCTTATGCAGCGGTCCTTAGCCTGGATGACAGAGCCACGCAGCAGGGGATCTGTAACCGCCCTCCCCCGCCACAAAGTCACATAGCCCCCACACACAGAGTCCCGAAAAGGAGGGGTGGCAGGCTCTGTTGAAACAACCAGTCCACTACTGCAGACCACTCTAGGAGCAGGAGCCTGTCATTCCTCGAGTTTAGAAGCGTCCTTTCCATCACTACACCCGCTCCCCACCACAGTCTGCGTCCCAGTTTCAACACTTTACCACAAAATCCTTAATAAAGAAAACGGTGTTAATGAACAAAGTTTCATTTATTTTATTTTTAAAGGTGTGTTGGAAGTGTGGGAAGAGGGTTGGTAACTGGAGAGGATAGTCAACATTAACTGGGTAAAGAAACGGGGGCAGGTTCAGCTTCTCTTTAAACAAACTTAATAGTCACAGGTTACCCTGCTCATTCTGGAACCTAGCTTTCAAAGCTTCCCAGATGCACAGCGCATCCCGCTGGGCTCTTCTAATCGCCCGGCTGTCTGGCTGGGCGTAATCAGCAGCCAGGCGATTTGCCTCAACCTCCCACCCCGCCATAAACATCTCCCCCTTGCTCTCACAGAGATTGTGGAGCACACTGCAAGCTGCAATAACAATGGGGATATTGGTTTTGCTGAGATCAGAGTGAGTCAGTAAGCTTCTCCATCTCCCCATCAGACGTCCAAAAGCACACTCCACCACCATTCTGCACTTGCCCAGCCGGTAGTTGAAGAGTTCTTTTTCACTGTCTAGGGCGCCTGTATAGGGCTTCATGAGCCAGGGCATTAGCGGGTAGGCTGGGTCCCCGAGGATCACTATAGGCATCTCCACATCCCCAACAGTTATTTTGTGGTCCGGGAAGTAAATACCTTCCTGCAGCCGTCTAAACAGACCAGAGTTCCTGAAAACGCGAGCATCATGAACCTTGCCCGGCCATCCAACGTTGATGTTGGTAAAACGTCCCCTATGGTCCACCAGTGCTTGCAGCACAATTGAAAAGTAGCTCTTTCGGTTAATGTACTGGCTGGCCTGGTGGTCAGGTCCCAGGATAGGGATGTGAGTTCCATCTATAGCCCCACCGCAGTTTGGGAATCCCATCGCAGCGAAGCCATCTATGATCACCTGCACGTTTCCCAGGTTCACTACCTTTGAGAGCAGTAGCTCAACGATTGCGTTGGCTACTTGCATCACAGCAACCCCACGGTAGATTTTCCCACTCCAAAGTGATTCACGACTGACCGGTAGCTGTCTGGCGTTGCAAGCTTCCAGAGGGCTATGGCCACTCGCTTCTGGACAGTCAGGGCTGCTCGCATCCGGGTGCCCTTGCGCATCTGGGCAGGGGACAGCAACTCACAAAGTTCCAGGAAAGTTCCCTTACGCATCCGAAAGTTTCGCAGCCACTGTGATTCATCCCAGATCTGCAGCACTATGTGGTCCCACCAGTCCGTGCTTGTTTCCCGGGCCCAGAATCGCCGTTCCACAGCATCAACATGACCCATTGCCACCATGATGTTCACGGCGCAGGGTCCCGTGCTTTGTGAGAGGTCTGTGCCCCTCAGACTTAATGTCCTCACTGCACTGCCATTGCCTCCTCACCTGATTTCTCAGCATCTGCCTCTGAAAAAGGTGGATGATAAGGTGCGAGGTGTTGACAACGGCCATAACTGCAGCGATGATCGCAGCGGGCTCCATGCTCGCAGTGCTGTGGCGTCTGCGCTATCAATCACCAGAAAAGTGCGCGAACTGATTGCCCGACAGCGCTTTCACAGAGGGAGGGTTGAATGACGACAGTTACCCAAAACCACCCTCGACACATTTTTTGCCCCAGCAGGCATTGGGGGCTCGACTCAGAATTCCAGTGGGCAGCGTGGACTGCGGGAACTGTGGGATAGCTGCCCACAGTGCACCGCTTCCAATGTCGACGCTTGCCCCGTTAGTGTGGACTCACAAAGTCGAATTACTGTCCTTAGTGTGAATACACACGTTCGACTTTGTAATATCGGTTCCACAAATTCGCTTTAAGTAAAATTGAACTACTCTCGTAGTGTAGACATACCCCCAGTGACCAGTATATTTGCCCTCTACCAGACTCCTGTACCCCACTGGTCTGGGTCTGTCACATAGCGTACAACATTAATTTACACATTAAAAATATTAAAATAATACATGTGTGTGTACTTACATTATTAAAAAAAGGCCATCCTCGCTCTTTCCATCCTCCGTGGTCTCTGTTGCCTTAATGTGGTACATTCCCTTGTTGAACTGTTGCAGCATACCCTGGTGTGGGGGAAAAAATTGGAACATAGGATATGTCAAGTGGGCGGGCCAGAAAGTTCATGAATTTGGATGTGTTTTCTTAGTTGAATGGGAGTGGGGATAGGAGGATTCTAAAATTCAAATGATGTCACTGTCACGTTGACACCAGTCAAGCACTAAAACCACTCCTACATCCATTTTTAAACTATAGCTTTGTGTTGAAGTCATCTATTTCAAAAAAATCCCAAATAAGCAACCACCAACTAGAACAAGCCCGAAGCCTCGGAAAATTAAAGCGCCTTTTTTTAAAAACTTGACCAATTCTGCTAATTATGTAGCACAAGCACTGGCAGAGGCATCATGGGGGAGGGGGGCATGGGAGTCACATGTCCCCCCCTCGCCCCTCAGATTTGCTGTTTAACTTTTAATGAACATGCTCACATGTACTGAGCATGCTCAGTAACACTGCTGAAGCCAATGGGAATGGCAAACCACGGCCACTGGGAGTTGCGGGTGGCTGTGCCTGGAAACAGACCACAGGCCACAGGTTGCCTATCACCGCTCTAAGGCCTTCCTCCCCATGGCAAATTATTTCTACTCTTATCAGGAACAGAATGTATAATGGAGCTAGGTTAAGGATCATCTCAGGCAAATTCATATCACCTTTGTAACAGACATAGGTGTTTGTTTATCTAAGGGTGTTCATACATAAGCCAGAGTTTGTTCCAAGGACACAAAGAGGAGCTGAAAGGAAGATTTTTGCACTGACATTTGGGTTTGGATTAGATCTTACTATGACATACGTGGGACAACGTTTAGAGAAGCAATTGCTCAACACCTTAATTGCTTCTTAGAACAACTAGGTCTAGAGCATACAAAAAGTAATTAAGAACATAAGAACGGCCATAAGGGACAGACCAATGGTCCATCTAGCCCAATGTCCTGTCTTTTGACAGTGGCCGGTGCCAGATGCTTCAGAGGGAATAAACAGAACAGGGCCATTATCAAGTGATCCATCCCCTGCCCTCTAGTCCTAGCTTCTGGCAGTCAGAGCATGAGGTTGCATCCCTGACTAATAGCCATCGATGGACCTATCATCCATGAGTTTATCTAGTTCTTTTTTGAACCCTCTTATTGTTTTGGCCTTCACTACATCCTCTGGCAAGGAGTTCTACAGGTTGATTGTGTTTTGTGTAAAGAAGTACTTCCTCTGTTTTAAACCTGCTGCCTAATAATTTCATCTGGTGACCCCTAGTTTTTGTGTTATGTGAAGCAGTAAATAACACTTCCTTATTCACTTACTGCACACTAGTCATGATTTTACAGACTTCTATCAAATCGCCCTTTAGTCATCTCATTTCTAAGATGAGCAGTCCTAGTCTTTTTAATCTCTCCTCATATGGAAGCTGTTCCATCTCTCTAATAATTTTTGTTGCCCTTCTCTGTACTTTTTCCAATTCTAATATATCTTTTTTAAGATGGAGTGACCAGAACTGTACACAGTGTTCAAGATAAAACTCAAAATATAGTCCTTCAAAAAGTGGAAACTCAGTCAAATTACAAAGGGTGAATATAAACAAATAACACAAGTATGTAGGGATAAAATTAGAAAAGCCAAGGCACAAAATGAGATCAAATCTAGCTAGGGACATAAAAGGAAACAAGAAAACATTCTACAAATACATTAGAAGTAAGAGGAAGACCAAGGACAGGGTAGGTCCGTTACTCAATGAGGGGGGGAAAGATAATAACAGAAAATGTGGAAATGGCAGAGGTGCTTAATTACTTCTTTGTTTCAGTTTTCCCCAGAAGATTGGTGGTGATTGGACGTCTAACATAGCGAATGCCAGTGAAAATGAGATAGGATCAGAGTCTAAAATAGGGAAAGAACAAGTCAAAAAATATTTAGACTTAGATGTCTTCAAATCATCAGGGCTTAATGAAATCCATCTTAGAATACTCACGGAGCTGACTGAGGAGATATATGAGCCATTAGCAATTATCTTTGAAAAGTCATGGAAGACGGGAGATATTCCAGAAGACTGGAAAAGAGCAAATATAGTGCCCATCTATTAAAAGGGAAATAAGGACAACCCAGGCAATTACAGACCAGTCAGCTTAACTTCTGTACCCAGAAAGATAATGGAGCAAATAATTAAGCAATCAATTTGCAAACACTTAGAAGATAATAAGGTGATAAATAACAGTCATCATGGATTTGTCAAGAACAAATCGTGTCAAACCAACCTGATAGTTTTCTTTGACAGGGTAACAAGCCTTGTAGATGGGGGAAAGCGGTAGATGTGGTATATCTTGACTTTAGTAAGGTTTTTGATACTGTCTCTCATGACCTTCTCATAAACAAAATAGGGAAATACAACCTAGATGGAGATACTATAAGGTGGGTGCATAATTGGTTGGAAAATCATTCCCAGAGAGTAATTATCAGTGGTTCACAGTCAAGCTGGAAGGGCATAATGAGTGGGGTTCTGCAGGGATCGGTTCTGGGTCTGGTTCTGTTCAATATCCTCATCAATGGGTTGGCTAATGGCACAGAGAGTACACTTATAAAGTTTGCAGATGATACCAAGCTCGGAGGGGTTTGGAGAATAGGATTAAAATTCAAAATGATCTGGACAAACTGGAGAAATGATCTGAAGTAAATAGGATGAAATTCAATGTGGACAAATGCAAAGTACTCCACATAGGGAGGAACAATCAGTTGCACAAATACAAAATGGGAAATGACTGCCTAGGAAGGAGTACTGCAGAAGGGATCTGGGGGTCATAGTGGATCACAAGCTAAATATGAGTCAACAGTGTAACGCTGTTGCAATAAAGCAAACATCATTCTGGGATGTATTAGCAGGAGTATTGTAAGCAAGACATGAGAAGTAATTATTCTGCTCTACTCCACTCTGATTGGGCCTCAACTGGAGTATTGTGTCCTGTTCTGGGCGCTACATTTCAGGAAAGATGTGGACAAATTGGAGAAAGTCCAGAGAAGAGCAACAAAAATGATTAACGGTCTAGAAAGCATGACCTATGAGGGAAGATTGAAAAATTTGGGTTTGTTTAGTCTGGAGAAGAGAAGGCTGAAAGGGGACACAATAACAGTGTCCAAGTACATAAAAGGTTGTTACAAGGAGGAGGGAGAAAAATTGTTCTTCTTAACCTCTCAGGATAGGACAAGAAGCAATGGGGCTTAAATTGCAGCAAAGGTGGTTTAGACTGGACATTAAGAAAAACGTCCCAACTGTCAGGGTGGTTAAGCACTGGAATAAATGGCCCAGGGAGGTTGTGGAATCTCCATCATTGGGGATTTTTAAGAGCAGGTCGGACAAATAACTGCCAGGGATGGTCTAGATAATACTTAGTCCTGCCTTGAGTGCAGGGGACTGGACTAGATGACCTCTCAAGGTCCCTTCCAGTTCTATGATTCTATGATATGGGCACACCATCAATTTATATAATGTCATTATATTTTCTGTTTTATTATCTATCCCTTTCCTAATGGTCCCTAACATTCTGTTAGCTTTTTTTGACAGTTGCTGCACATTGAGTGGATGTTTTCAGAGAACTATCCACAATGACTCCAAGTTCTCTTTCTTGAGTGGTAACAGCTAATTTAGACCTCATCATTTTGTATGTATGGATTGAATTATGTTTTCCAATGTGCATTACGTTGCATTTATCAGCATTGAATTTCACCTGCCATTTTGTTGCACAGACACCCAGTTTTGTGAGATCTCTCTGAAACTCTTTGCAGTCAGTTTTGGACTTAGCTGTCTTGAGTAATTGCCACCTCACCATTCACCCCTTTTTCCAAATCATTTATGAATATGTTAAACAGCATTGGTCCCAGGACAGGTCCTTGGGGGACCCCTTGGATTTCAAAATACAGCCACCATTATGAGTAAATGATGGTCAAAGTACTGCATAGCTTTCTGTGGTAAATCTTCATTAGTACTTACTCCTTTTCCATGATAGAAGAAGTTCCAAAAGTGATTGTGTGGATTGCTGGGGATTCTTGGATCAGATGGGTACATGAGTATTATCTAAAATTCCAACGCAATTCAAATTTAGAACTAAAGAAATGTCATTATCTGGGAGTTACATCAGGAAAAGGTGGCAATAGTTAATTCCAACAATGAAGATCTCTTATCCTTTCCCAAACTTTAAAAGGATTTAGTGCAGAGGAAGTCATCTTGGCATATTAAATGTAGTACAGTTAATTCCAGCAATAAAGACCTTTTATCCTTCCCCAAACCTTATAGTGATCCTTTACAGAGGAAATTATTTTAGCATATCAAAAGAGCTACACTTAATTCACTGTGTCAAAAAGGTTATATCTATTACTGAAAACCTGTTCCAAAATTATGTCATTAGATCTTCTGACAATAGAGACACACAAAAACTAAATCTGCCATAGGGAAATGTTACTAGATTGCTAGAAAAAAAGATACCTATTCATTGGATGAGGGAACACGTAATGTTAGACACAGAAATAATGATTTTCAAAGTCACTACAACTGACTTTGCCAGAAGGATGTAGCATTTCTCAGAGATATGCTGTAAGAATCTCTATTTTTCACTAGCCTTTTTGAAATAACTAGGGATCTTTTAAGAACGCCCTTCCCACTTACAATTTAACACAACTTTTAGTAACATTCAAAATACAACGGAATAAAACACTTTAATAAAATCTAGGAAACTAGATACATTTGAGGTTGCTAATTGCAATGCAAGAAGTTCATTAAAACATATTACCATCTAGATATCATTTGACATATCCTTTAAAAATTCACTTAGTCAAAAGGTTGACTACAAGCTAAGGTTACATATCTGGCTTTGGCATGACACTTAACATTCAGTTCACCCACAGAGAACATTAAATAGAAATGTTCTCAATGAGCCGCAGTCAACTTTAATTTTGTCCCTGCATCAAAACACACACAATAACTACATACTCAAAATTACCATGTTGTTAAATGCATGTTGATAAATGCAATTTAAAGTTGATAAATGCAAAGTAATGCACATTGGAAAGCATAATCCCAACTATAAATATAAAATGATGGGGTCTAAATTAGCTGTTACCATTCAAGAAAGAGATCTTGGAGTGATTGAGGATAGTTCTCTGAAAACATCCACTCAATGTGCAGCAGCAGTCAAAAAAGCAAATAGAATGCTGGGAATAATTAAGAAAGGGATAGATAATAGGACAGAAAATATCATGTTGCCTCTATATAAATCCATGGTACACCCACATCTTGACTACTGTGTGCAGATGCGGTCGCCCCATCTCAAAAAAGATATATTGGAATTGGAAAAGGTTCAGAAAAGGGCAACAAAAATTATTAGGGGTATGGAACGGCTTCCATATAAGGAGAGATTAATAAAACTGGGACTTTTCAGCTTGGAAAAGAGACAGCTAAGGGGAGATATGATTGAGGTCTATAAAATCATGACTGGTGTAGAGAAAGTAGATAAGGAAATGTTGTTTACTACTTCTCATAACACAAGAATTGGGGTCACCAAATGAAATGAATAGGCAGCAGGTTTAAAACAAATAAAAGTATTTCTTCGCACAACACACTGTCAACCTGTGTAACTCCTTGCCAGAGGATGTTGTGAAGGCCAAGACCATAATAGAGTTCAAAAAAGAACTAGATAAATTCATGGAGGCTAGGTCCATCAGTGGCTATTAGCCAGGATGGACAGGAATGATGTCCCTAGCCTCTGTTTTCCAGAAGCTGGGAATGAGTGACGGGATGGATCACTTGATGATTACCTGTTCTGTTCATACCCTCCGGGGCACCTGGCATTGGCCACTGTCGGAAGACAGGATACTGGGCTAGATGGACCTTTGGTCTGACCCAGTAGGCCCATTCTTATGTTCTTATGTATCATGCTTTCCATTTACATTATGAGCTCCCCCGTGATTTAATCAGTTGTGGCCTTGTTGACAGAGCTAGGTGATATTTTTTGGCCGAAACTTTTTTTAGCAAATTCTGCGACACTGAAACGAATTTGTCTCTTCAGCCAAAATCTGAAAAATTAAAATGTAACATTTCAATGGTTCAGCCTGAAATTACTTTTGGTTTCAAAATTTCCTTTAATTTTATTTTTTTAATTGAAAATATTTAAAAATAGTCAAAATTGAAATGAAATATTTTGATTTTGTCAAAATAAAACATTTTGTACGCCCTCCAAAAAATGATGCTTTGATTTACCAAAAATTTCAAAATTTTTCATTTTCACTCTACCCCTACACTAATTTTTTTTAAACTGAAAGATCTATTTTACCCACAGCTCTACTCATTGAACCCGACACTGAAAAAACAAAGCAGATGACCACCTTTGCCTCTACACAGAATTTTATCCATTTGTCACATACTAAAAATTGCACATACAAACTTTAATACCTCAGATACTTGGATGAGGAGGATGATTTAAGAACCTATGCAGAATAAAATATTCATGCAAAGGTTGTAGAAAAATCTGGACTTCCATAAAGCTCTGTGCAATCCATAAAAATCAATATATTTTAACAATTCAAGAGTACCTGGAATGTCTGTCTGTTTCTCTCTCTTTGTTATATTTCTCCATAACATCCAACATAGACATATATAGGCACATCTAAATAGCAATCTTTTCCTGCTGAGCTAAATAATTCCCCCAACTGGAAAACATAATTAGAGACAAAGCTACTGTAGAAACATAGAGTAAGTATAACCGTTAAGCCGGATCATAACATTGTGACCATTAAACTAAACCAGAAAATATTCATGTCATAACAAACTATCAAATTTGCTAGCACAGAATAAATAGTAGACATACATACATACACCATCATCCACATTTATGTTATAAAGATAAATAAGGGACCAGCCCAAACTCCCATTAAAATCAAAGGAAACACTACCATTTATTTCAATGGAGTTTAGATTGGGTCACAAAATGCTAAAGCGAATCCAAAGGCAGATTTAAGGTGGTTTGGGTGCTGATCATTTAAAGTTTTTCTGTTTAATGGTCTGTGTATGTGAACTGAGTGAGTATTAGGTTGGTGACAAAATATATATAAATCATTTCTCGTGATTTCCATATTTTTTTATGCGTGGGATTTTTAAGGATGTCTTTGATGGTACCTCTTATCTTCAATTAAACTTAGCAACTTTTGGTCTGATTCTGAACTCACCCCAGTTTTAAATTTAGTCTGCTTAAACCCTAAATATAGATGCACTTAAACTGGTTTAGCCACAATGTTGTCAACTCTTGCCATTTTATCATGAGCCTTGCAATAATTTTGTTTTCCTTAAAGTCCCAAGTGTTGGACATGTGTGAATACCTGAGCATCTCAGCTTTCATTTACAAAAAAAATTAAATCCCTAGTCTTCATGATCAGAGAGTGCTTAAAAATGTGATCCCAATGTGGCCTAAACACTCAAAAATCTGAAGGCAAATAAAAAGAAAACAAAACGTATTAAGTTTCAGAGTGGCAGCCGTGTTAGTCTGTATCAGCAAAAAAAACAAAAAAAAAACGAGGAGTCCTTGTGGCACCTTAGGCCTTGGCTACACTTACCCGCTAGTTCGGCGGCTGGCAATCGAACTTCTGGGTTCGACTTATCGCGTCTAGTCTGGACGCGATAAGTCGAACCCGGAAGTGCTCACTGTCGACTGCGGTACTCCAGCTCGGCGAGAGGAGTACCGCGGAGTCGACGGGGGAGCCTGCCTGCCGAGTGTGGACCAAGGTAAGTTCGAACTAAGGTACTTCGAACTTCAGCTACGTTATTCACGTAGCTGAAGTTGCGTACCTTAGTTCGAATTAGGGGGGTAGTGTAGACCTGGCCTTAGAGACTAACAAATTTATTTGGGCATAAGCTTTTGTGGGCTAGAACCCATTTCATCAGATGCATGAAGTGAAAAATACAGTAGCAGGTATAAACACATGAAAGGATGGGGGTTGCTTTACCAAAGGTGAGGTCAGTCTAACAAGATAAATCAATTAACAGCAGGATACCAAGGGAGGAAAAATAACTTTTGAAGTGGTAAGAGTGGCCAGTTACAGACAGTTGACAAGAAGGTGTGAGAAACAGTAGGGAGAAATTAGTATTGGGGAAATTAAGTTTAGGTTTTGTAATGACCCAACCACTCCCAGTCTTTATTCAGGCCTAATCTGATGGTATCCAGTTTGCAAATTAATTCCAGTTCTGCAGCTTCACGTTGGAGTCTGTTTTTGAAGTTTTTTGTTGAAGAATTGCCACTTTTAGGTCTGTTATTGAGTGACCAGAAAGATTGAAGTATTCACCTACTGGTTTTTGAATGTTATGATTCCTGATGTCAGTTTTGTATCCATTTATTCTTTTGCATAGAGACTGTCCAGTTTGGCCAATGTACATGGCAGAGGGGCATTGCTGGCACATGATGGCATATATCACATTGGTAGATGTGCAGGTTCTATCAAGTATCACAAAGCCCTCCATACACATTGGAAGACTTGGTCCTTTGTGTTCATAATTTGTGTTTTTCCATGAACAAAATGTATTCTGATTTATAATGAATGATCTGTGGTGAAATTAAGGGCTCTGCAAAGGCACCTGTTGCATGAACCTTTTTCAAATCTTTTAATGCTGTTACTAAATGATTTGACACTGCACAACAGTATGTTTTAAAGACAGGCCACGGTAGATTATGTCAGCTGAGTCAATAAATGAAAGTGCAGTGCACACTTGGTAATTTTATCTACAATCGACATATTGAGGAAACCTTTTTTTCCTCCTTTAATCCACAGCTTCTGCCTTCTTTGTCCCCCTATTGATGTGATCAACTGCGCTTACTCCAGCCAAATCACGAGAAAAGGTTGGCCTCGCTCTTTTTGTTCCTTTGAATTTTGTGCTGGCCGACACAGTTGTCAATGAATTCATGGGCTGGCAGTGCCTCCAACGTGGGACTCCAACTATTCTGACACAGCACAAAGCTAATACACAGTAAAAGTAAAACCAACCCTCAACTTCACTAGGGCCAGCTGCCCAAACAAAGGAATGTCAGAACTGCTGGAGGAACTACTGGGATGTGGGATGTCAAAATATTAATCCGGTCTATTGCGAAGTTTGGGAGGGAGGGGTATGCCTTTCAGATAAGACCCCAGAGGTAGCAGCATTTCAGGAGTGAATTGAGTAATTCCCATTTGGCTGTTGGAGCAGTTGGGGATGAAAGTGCTATATAGAACAATAGAAATGTAGGACTCAAAGGGACCTGGATAGGCTTATCTAGTCCAGTCCCCTGCAGGAAGGCAGGACTAATCCCCAACAGGTGTTAGATATTATATCATTTCCAGATGTAATGTCAACAGGCCCCGGTCATCGGTGCCTGGGATCAAACCTGGGATCTCTGGAGCTTAATGCATGAGCCTCTACTCCCTTTCTAAGACAGAGGAAAAACGTGATCCAGGAAACTACAGGCCTGTTAGTTTAACCTCAATTGTATGCAAGGTCTTGGAACAAATTTTGAAAGAGGAGGCAGTTAAGGACGGAGATTAACAGTAATTGGAATAAAATACAGCATGGTTTTACAAAAAGGTAGAACACGCCAGACTAACCTTATCTCCTTCTTCGAGAAGATAAGTGATTTTTTAAACAAAGGAAATGCAGTAAATCTAATCTACCTGGATTTCAGTAAGGCATTTGATATAACCCTATATGGGAAATTATTAAATTGGCGATGATGGGGATTAATATGAGAATTGAAAGGTGGGTAAGGAACTGATTAAAAGGGAGACTACAATGGATCATACTGAAAGGTGAACTGTCAGGCAGGAGGGAAGTTATTAATGGAATTCCTCAGCGATCTGTCTTGGAACCAGTCTTATCTAACATTATTATTACTGACCTTGGCACAAGAAGCTGGAGTGTGCTAATAAAATTTGCGGATGACACAAAGTTGGGAGGTATTGCCAGTACCGAGGAGGACTGGAATATCATACAAGAAGACCTGGATGACCTTGTAAACTGGAGTAACAGAAGTGGGATGAAATTTAATAGTGGAATGTCTAAGATCATGCATTTAGGGACTAACAATAAGAATTTTTGCTGTAAACTGGGGACGTATCAGTTGGAAGTGACAGAGGAGGTGAAAGACCTGGGTGTATGAGTTGATCACAGGACAGCTATGAGCCACCAATGTGATGCGGCCATTAAAAAGATTAATACAGTCCTAGGATGCATCAAGCGAGGTATTTCCAGTAGAGACAGGGAAGTGTTAGTACCATTATACAAGGCACAGGTTAGACCTCATATGGAACAGTCTGAAAATAGGAAATGTTCAAAAACAAGGTGGGGGGGGGGTAATTAATTTTGAATGAATTCCACCATGTGACTAATGTCAACCAGCCAAAATCAGCAACAAAACCCTCCCCCGCAAAAAACAAACAAACAAAAAAATTCATACAACAACCAACAGACTAAACTTCTTCTTTGCAAGTTTCTGTTGCAATGTTTTGAAAAAGTGAACATTTGGGGAAAAAATGATTTTTAGAAAATGGTGGTTTTCAGTCACATATTTTTTCATATGAACACTTTCCACTAGCTCCAATAACAACCCCTTCTGGAGCGGATATACAGTAGAACTTCAGAATTTCAAACACCTCAGGAATGTTTGTAACTCTGAAATGTTTAACAAATTTATTAGAGCATAAGCTTTCGTGGACTACAGCCCACTTCTTCGGATGCATATAGAATGGAACATATATTGAGGAGATATATATACACACATACAGAGAGCATAAACAGGTGGGAGTTGTCTTACCAACTCTGAGAGGCCAATTAATTAAGAGAAAAAAACAGATTGACAGAGCCAGACGAGTACCCA